GTTTCCCTGCTGTAAGTCTGGGAGTAGGACTAAGCAATTCTTAAGGTTTCTTCTACAGCAGGGGTTGGCAAACTACAGCCAACAAGCCAAATCCTATTTCTGTAAATAAGGTTTCACTGGAACTCAGCACGCCCGTGTTTCTGTATCTGTTGGTGGCAGCTTTCCTGCTATAACAGCAGACTTGAGTAGCTGCAACAGAGACCATATGGCCCCCAAATGGGAAATATTTACTATCTGGCCCTTTACAAAAAGTTTGCCGGTCCTGTTCCTCAAGTATTAACATTCTCCTAGGCTTAAAAGAGCTTTCATGGCTCCAATCTGATCAGAACAGTTCATAACATGCCCATGTCCAGGTCACCACCCGCAGACACCCACTATCCTCTTCCAAGGACCCCTGCCTGGGTTTGGATGGTGGTGGGAGTTCCCACAATTGGAGTCACCTTGTGGTGCAATGGCGCCACCTGCTGTGAATGCCTAAAAGCACTTCTGCTTGGGAGGATGTGACCCCTTGGCAAGCAGCCCCCTCCCAATCCAGGGGAACCAGCTCACAGGAGCAGGTCAGGCCTCAGAACCACAGCACATCAGAGCTGGGTTCTGGTGCTCTCCCTCCCCATTTGATAAAGTCTGCAGTCTAGAGGGGCAGTGTGACTCCTCCAAGGTAGGTGATGGGAAGGCCCAGAGGCTCACAAACCCATCCATCTACGCTCTATGGACAAACACTGGGCACACAGACCTGGCACAGTGAACCCTAAGTCGGCTGCTCATTTAGGGTCTTGGATCCATGGTTGTTGAAAGGCTTTTCAAAATAAACATACATATTTAAGCTGTTTCCAATCTTTAGGACAACTCTGAGACAATTATTACCCCCATTTCAAAGATGAAAACACTGTGGTACAGAGAGGTTAAGTAATTTGGTTAAGGTCACAGGGCCAGTAAGTGACACAGTCAGGTTGTGAAAGGGTTAAGATCCCCAGAATATGGTGCTCAGTGCATATTACTGTTCTTCCTGCCTGCAGGTGTGCTTGGGCCCCCGAGGAGGTCCTGGGACTCAATTGGGAGCACACATGATGGGAAGGCCTGGAGTCTGACCAGTCATCTGAGAGGCCCCAAGCACAGAGACCAGGCCGGACTGCCCCTCCCTGCCCCCACACCTCCAGGCAACAGGAAGTGGCCAGTGGACTGTAAACCCTTTATTTCCAAAGTATAAATAGATCTGCTCTCTAAGCAAAGAGCTCTCCAGGTGATAAGTCCCTAGCCTCTCCATCTCCCCTTCCCAACTGCTCTGCAGTCCAAACCCAGTCCCCTCAGAAAACCATGAAGCCTCTGAAATCATAATCTTGGCAACCAGAGCATGGCAGCAGTTGAGAACAGCGCTCCTTTTGTCCACTGTGACTCTGGCACAGCTTGAGGCCCCTCAGGCCAGGTCTGAGGCTGGCCTAGTGCTCACCCCTCTGTTTGACCAATTCCCCGACCCAGCCCAACCATGTGGTCATGTGCTACCCAAGGCCCAGCCTGGGACACTTCTGGCCCACTGCTTCCAGCTGCTGTGAGCAGTCACCCGGGTCCCTGAGCTGCCATCAGTATAAAGGCTGGGAGAGGCCTGCTTTCAAGCTGCTCCCTGGCTGGTCGCTGCTATCCTTGGGCCACAAAGTACTCATCTTCCTCCTCCGCCTCATCGTGACCTTCCTCTGGCTGGCTGCTCCGGAGCAGCAGCTCCAGGTCAGGGTTGGAGCCCAGCCCCTTCAAGGGCTTCTCACCATCACCTGGGGATAAAGAGACCAGTTACAGCCCCAATCATAGGTCCTTGGTGTGCCCTGATGTGACTGCGTGCTCAGTCACCCAAGCCCCCCATCCCAGCTCCTTAGAGATGACTCCTGTCTTTTCAGAGGAATGGCGGGGTGGCAGAGCCACCAGGCATACTTCCTGAATTAGAGCAACAGCCAACGCAGAGGCGGCTGAACTGTGTAGTCTGGAGCTACTTTGGGGAAGCAGAGGGCCACCTGCCTCTTCCTGGCAGGGCTGGGTTGAGGGGAAATCTGAGGGGCTGTCAGGGGGAGAATGTCATCAGAACACAGACTTCTGAAAGGGGCGCTGGTTACCTTTGGAGTGCAGGGCTTTGAGGGCGACATGCAGAGATATTCCTGAGAGGCAGAGGGCAAAGCCCAGCCAGTTCAGGAGGCTGATCTGATCACCCAGCAGATGAGCTGCCAACAGCAAAGTGCAGACTTCCTATGGGCAGAGAAGCAGGAAGGGGAAGTGATTAGCGGGATGAGTTGGCCCCTTTGCAAGGAGGGCCGAGGCACTGAGCATACCCATGGGAGAGAGCCAGACTCGCCCAAACTCCAGGGCGGGGCAGGCTGGCCTGCAGGGCAAAGAGGAAGCTTCTATTGGGCTCAGAGGGCTGGGCCTGCCTGTAATGCTTTCCTCCCTTTGTGTTACTGAGATGAAACAAAGGAGGTGCTTTCACAGAATTGTCAGAATAAAAAGAGGCAAACCAAATGCAGTCATGTTCCCAGGAATAAAGGAGAGCTGCCCTTCTGGAAGGTTCAGATGGGGAGTTCTCAGCTGCCAGGGGAGAATGCTTTGAGGGACACTCACTAGTCCTGGGTTCTTGGTACACAGTGGCTGCAAATGGCACTATGACATGACTCATTCTGAGAATGACAGCTTATGCCTCCTCATTTGGATGGCAACCAGAAGACCCTTGGGGAGCCCTATATTTCTGCTTTCAGGCAGCACTGCTCCAATATCAAAGCACAAACTCCCTCCATGGCCTGGAAGAGGGAGTGAGACATGGTGGAGAAGGGAAGGGGAAAGTGATGAAGAGAAGTAAGAGTGCTGCCAGGAAGAGGTAAAGGCAGGCTCAGCAAGCACAGGCACTCCGACTTAACTGTGCCCATGGCAGACATCATCAATCAACCACAGAACTTGTTACTGATGAGTCTGGATGGGGGCTTCTCAACCCATGGTTCCAGGCCGCTGCCAAACGATCAGAGTTGGCATTCCTGGTAAAATGTAAATGTGTCCCAAACCTAGTGGAGTCAGACCTGGCTCTGCAACCAGCTCAGTCACCTCTCTGTTTTCTTGGGTAGGAGCAGCTCTTCATGTCTGATGACCATCCCCACCTCACAGGGCTGCAGTGAGGGTGGGAGGGGGTACAGATGAAAGCATGGCACTTAGCACCCTAGTGAGGTACCTCTATCTCTTCTCTGTAGGCCCTGGGATGCAGGAGCTGCTGGTGAGAAATATCCTCAGGGGTTCCTCTCTAAGACAGGATTGGGGTCACCTCTGAGTCTGTACCTTAAAAATGCCGGCAATGGAGAGAGTGAGGCTGGAGGTTCTGGAAACCAGGAGGAACTCGGAGAAACCCAAACCAAAGGCAAGAATCCCGCCAAGGAAGAGGCTCCCAAGTACCCGTAGGAGCAGCCCTGTGTCCTGGAAACGGAAGATTTTCTCAGATGTGGACAAATGGAGACCTGAAAGCAATGGGGGAGAGAGGGACGACCATGTCCTGGGTGTGCCTGCCTGGGCGGCCTCACCCTCCTGCAGCTGGGTGAGATCTGCCAGTCGCCGAGCATACTTACTAAGCACCTGCTGACTGTGGGAGGCCCGGAGGACAAGGATGGGAGAAGCCCACACAGATGGCCTGAGTCTTAGGAACGCTAGGGAAGCAGTGATGGCTGCCAGAGCGCCCTGGGGCATAGGAGCCTGAGATCCTAATAGGGAGTGATGGGGAGGGCTTTGGAGCCCCTGGGCTAAATACAGGGGATGGCGCCACAGAGAAAATCCATGGGAGCACCCTGCTCTTTCACAGGACATTTCCCTCCCATCTGTGGAAGGAGCAGTGAGGGTGGTGACTTCCTGTGGCCTTGGCAGCTGAGATAACTAATGAGCCAAAGAGAGGTGGGGCAGCCAGCAGGTGAGGACTGTTGATGCCCTGGCCCACGGAGGGAGTCCCTTGTTCTCAATTTCAGGCAGGGCACCTATAAACAGGGACAAAACTCTGTCCTTACTAATCTCGCCATTTTAATCCGGGCCTATTATATGGTTGTGGGACGTGGCTGAGATATGCCCCCTTTCAGAGCACAGTTTCCCCACTAATAGAATGAGTGGGTTGGGACTAGACCAGTGTTTCTTGAACAGATGGTATAGTCTGATGAAGAGTTCTCAAAAAACAAACACTGCATATAAATACTTGACAAAAGCCAAGGCCCCTCGCTCCAGAGACACCCACACAGGCACCCATGCAGTGAACTTTGCTTAGGCTTTCAGAGGGTTCTTGGCCCTCCAATGCTGCCCATGTGAGAGGATGATTTCTGGGGTCCCTCCCTGCAGGAAAGCCGCTGGGAGCATTGGCAGGATCTGAGGTGAGCCCAGACTAGGCACAAAGGACACACCTGCGGGAACAGGAGGCTGGCCAAGGGCTTTGAGGTTTTTGGAGGGAAGCACCAAAGAATTGCAGAGTGACAGCTCCCCCACCCCCCACCCCCTCAGGCAAATAGCCTCACGATGCAGGACATCTTGTCTGGTGCTGGGCTCAGCAGTACTGCAAAGGCAGGGGCAAATTGGAGAGAATTCGGGGAAAGCAACATAAGTAATGAAGGCGCTTGGGGGATTAATTTACCAGAAAAGATTAAAGGAGCTAAATCCATGCAGCTTTGCTAAGTGACGACTAGCAGGGGCTTTCGGATGAGGGTTTGTAGAGATGGGGAATGGTGTAAGCACCCAGGAAGGGGGGGTGCGTGTGGCACTGGGTACAGGGACATAATGAAGGAATGAGGAGAGATGTTAAAAAGGAAGAAAAATGAGGCTGCAGACGGAAGTTTCCTGGACAACGGGGCTGCAGAATAATTTTCTCAGAGAGGTTCAAGACGCTTCGCTGCTTGAAACTTAAATGAATGTGGGACAGAATTTTCTGTAATGACCCTGAGGACAGAAGGGACTCCTGGAGGAAGGATAAACAGGGGACAAAGTAATCCCAAAACATCAGAGGCAGGAGCATGGCGCTGCACCTCCCAGCCCAGACAATTCTCCCCACCTCTCCTCTCTGGGAGATGACCGTGGAGGGGAACTGCTCACTTGTCAGGTTCATGTGCACAGGCTCCCAGTACCACCCCCTCCGGCCAACACACACTCCATTCCTTTGAGCCTACAGCTCAGACTTTCTGGGATGCCCCGCCCACACCAGCCTGTCAAAGTCCCATTCATGCCCCCAGATACACTGTCTGGGAAACCTTTCTGACTAGCCTTTCCACCCTATCATCCTGAGACAATTCACGACCCTCTGCTCCTAAGAGGCAGAACACAGCCTAATGGTTAAGAGGAGGGACTCTGGAGCCAGCTCCTGGACCTGAATTCAGGTTCATTTATGAGCCATGGGACCCGAAGCAAGGTTATCTTTACTTCTCTCTGCCTCAGTTTCTCTCACCTGCAAGATGAGCATATTAAAAAAACTGCCCCATGGGACTTAGGGGAGCATTAAGAGTTGATATATGTAAAATGATTAGAACAGCCCTGGCATACGTTTGGGACTGAACACATTCACTGTCATTACCGCCTGCTCTATTTCATACACTTTCCATGTAACATTTATCATGCTGGATTCTAGCCATTTGGTTTAAGTGTCTGTCCAGACACCCAAACCAGGCACTGCCGGAGGAGGGGCCACACCTTTGATCTCTGTATCCTCTGTAGCTACCACAGTGCTGGGCACAGAGCAGGGATTGGGGATCTGCTGTACAGAGGTGCCCCGAGGTGGACGGCACAACCTACCTTCAAATATGGCAAAGAGAGGGAAGAGCCCGAGAAACATGAGTGGTTGCAGGTGGAACATGGTGTCGATGGGGTTCTGGAGCCCTACAGGATGGGGACATGGGTGAGCCATCAGGCCTGGCCAGCCTGCCTCCACCCTGCCTGGTACCCGGGCCCGTCTCTCACCAAGTTCAGCCTTCTGCAGGAGTATCTGGGTGAGGGTCCAGCGAATGCCACCAATGAACGAGGCCCCCAGCACCAAGGCAAAGCCCTCCACGTTGAACTGCGTGGACTTGTAGGTGAACATGAAGAGTCCCCCAGCGATGAGGAGCACCACCAGCACCAGCGCTGCACGCTATTAGGATGGGGAGCAGGTGGCAACTAACTTGGGAGTCTCAAGGTCATCCTACCTGGGGTTTGGGGGTCAGCAGCCACCTTGGCTAGCTCTTCTCTCCCCACCACCTTGGCCAGCTCCTTCCCAGAGATAAACACAGGGCTGATGTTCAACTGACATGTCCCCAACATCCCTACCTGCCCTAAAATACTGAAGTGCTTTCCTATGGCTGTCCTAGGCCCCCAAGTGGCTTCCCCCCTCCTCTGGACTAGGAAACAAAGGGTACTGCCTCACACAGCAGGAAGCCTCCGACCCAGCCTGACCTGACCTGGCCCCTCTTCCTTGAACCCTTCCTCCTTTGGTCTTTACCCCTGCGTGCCACACCATTTCTAAAATTCTCAGTAGTGCCCAGTCCTAGGTCCTTCCTCAGCTACAGGAGCTTCTGCCACCTGGACTGGGAATGTCTCTTCTGTCACACAGTGATGAGCCACTGCTCAGATCCCTCTTTTCATTTTTAACATCGGTGTGGGTAGGAGGGACAAAAGGGATGCTGGTGCCTCACCAGCTCCTCCAGCTTGAAGATCAGAGAGAAGATCAAGATGAAGAGGACGGCTGAGGATTTGGTCATTGTGTACCTGGAAGCAAAAATTACCACAATGCATGGCTGCAGCCCGGGGCTCATATCTGCCATCCAGAAAGGAGCCCATAGTACAATCAGTGGGCTGGAAAGGGGGGGGGAGGCTCCTGACTTCCCTGAGGGCAACTGGCTCTGCTCAGGGCAGCAGGGCAATCTGGGTACAAAAGACCAAAAGAAGGTGGCCTGAGTCACCTGGGCTGATACGTGACCTTTAATCGAAAGAAATCTCAGAGGCTTCTAACCATCACCAGGGAGAAAAGGCTGCGGGTCTGACACTGTGCTCAACAAGGCTATTATTACCCACCCCTCAGTGGAGACCAGGATGGGGAAGAAAGGATGAGGGGGGGAGAAGGCAGGGACGTGCTCTCTGAAGCACAAAACCGAAGAAGTAACTGCCACGCCTCCCTGCTGTGTAGGTGTGTGCACTGCACACCGTCACTCCCTTCCTCCGGAGCTGTGATTGTCCCCGTTCTGTTTGAGCCCCTGACTTCCCCAGGGCGCCTGGCAGGCAGGCACAGCATCCCCTGTGTGCCCCAGGGTAAGGAAGAGGCTGGTCAGTTTCTGGAGAGCTGCTGGGTGTCAGGGAGGAGCTAAGAGAGGGCTGGTCCCAGAGACTGGTATAGAGGCTGGCTTGTCGGTCAGGTGTGCAGATAGCCAGCTGGACAGACAGAGAGAACTTGCACCTGAGGGGAGGTGGCAGGTGTGGCAGTACTCACAGTGAGACGGTGATGTAGAGGAAACTCCAGTTGGACAAGCCCACATCAAGCGCCGTTGCCAGTGCTGTGGAGACAAGGGATGCCCACCAGACACGCGGGGGAGGAAGGGCAGGCGGTATGGGGGCACCAGTTATTAGAACACTTCTGTGAGGCACCCAAGTGCCCCCTGCTTTGCACTGCTCACCCTGGCTTTCTCTGGAGCCCTCAGGCCTTGCTTTATACTCAGCAACTAAAAGGTTAAGTCCTGACCAAAAGAAGGTGGGGGGTGGGGGTTTGCTCCAGCATTCAGGCTGTGGTGCATTCTGACTGGCTGGGGCCTGTGTTGTTCCCACTTATTAAATATTTTGAATACCCCCTGATGACGGGTATTAACCTGATCCTGCAAACTCTTCAGAGAAGTCACGGAGGAGGAGGACCTGGCCCTCCAGGACCTGATCTCTTCCACCCTCTCATTCCTCTCACTTCCCCTCACCAACGCTGAGTTCTCAGCACCTGGAGACACTCTCTGTTCCCTTTCAGACTTCCACATGCACTAAACCTCCAGGGGCACAGAGTGCACTTTCCTCCCAGGACCAAAGGTCCCACTCCAGGTCCCAGCCAACTTAGTCCTTGCTCTGAGGAACCCTCCCTGCCCAGCACCCAGCACCCAGCACCCAGCCCTGCCTTGGTTGGTTCCCTTTCTCTATGGTCAGTACAGCAAGGGCAGGGACTATAAGCTCTGTTCACCACTATCTCCAGGCCTGGGAACACAGCTCAGGGTGCATGTTCAAGGCCAAGGGAACTAGCTACAAGGCCACTGCCACACTGGGGCTTTTCCAGGTGTGCATGGGCAAGTGAGAAGATGGGGAGTCCGTAGGGGACACAAGTGGGGGTGAGAAAGGCATGCAGACAGGAGGAAACATGAGGTGGGGCAGGGAAAGAGGGGCCTAAGCTTCAAGCCACAAAGGCTTCCTTTTGCTTTTGGCCTATGGCCTCCCAAGCAACTCTCCTCCTGTTTGGCCCTCCCCACAGGCACACACCTGTTGGAGCTACTCTTCTGAGGTAGTCAGTCCAGCTCAGCACCACGCGGGCCCTGTGACTGGAGCACTGGACCAGCGCCCTGGACAGGGCGGAGAACAGGAAGATCACGGCCAGGTGCAGCATCGTCATGAAGAGGGGGAAGTGGAAGCTCTGTGTGGAGCCCAAAGCACAGCCAGCCCAGGCACGGTTTAGACAGCCAGACCGCACCTGCCCCCCACCACCACCCTCCCTTTACTTGGCGGCAGTGGCGCTAACTGGGTGCTTCCTGGGGGCTCTGCAGTGTATGAAGGGCTTTCACCCACACCGCAATCAGTTGGCATGAGAGGGTTGGTCCCAACTTTGGAGGTCACAGAGCAGGTGGAAGAATGGGGCCCAATCATAGCTAGATGCTGTCTCCACCCCTTTAACAGCCTGTTAGCTGCCTGCTTCAGCCCTTCTCCACGACCCACATCCAGGTAACAGCCAGTGTGGGCCAGGACGGCTGTGCCAGTTTTTAGAGTACTGAACTACTTTTCTACCTGTTGGTCAACAGCTGCTGCTTAAGCCCCCCAAGTCTCCCCAGCTCATTCCTCATCCAATTTCCCCTTGATCCAAACATTTCAGTGGAATCCCTGGCGTGTCAGGGCTGGCTGTAGGGCCCTGTCCCATCACTAGTGTGACTGGCCTCCAGTCTGACTGGCTGAAGCCTGTGCCTTCCTGTTGTTAAATATCAGGGACACTGTAGCCCCAGCCACCTCCCTCCGAGTGTCCCACCCCACAGGCCTCCGAGTCACCTTGGTCAGCCATTTGTTGTAGAAGGTGATGCCGATGGAGAAGCAGTAGTAGAGCAGGACCAGTCCCAGGGTCAACACTGCCTTCCACACAAAGGCCACGTCGAGGGCCCACCTCCCCATCTGTGGAAGCGGCAACTCCCTAGCTGGGGTCAGTGGGGGCAGGCACCTCTCCTGAAGATGGGCCGTGGGAAGAGCCGCTGGCCCTGGGCCACGATTTTCAACAAAAATGTCGCCTGGTTAGAGGAGTTCTCTTCACCTTCATGATTCAAGACGGTGAACGGAGCCCTAGGCGGAGTCCTCACCTAAGGGGCTGGTGGCCTGAGGCAATCCCCTCCATGGTTAACCGGATGCAGGGCTCACAGATCCCCAGGTCTGAGGCTAGAAGGATGAAAAGGCAGCTCTGGTGGCTTGGGCAAAGTGAGGGCCACTTGACTCCACCCACCACAGGCCCAACCTGACCTGCAGGGAGCAGATCAGAGCAGACAGAACGGCGGGAAGGAGCCCACGCAAGGCACAGTCTACCACAGCAGAGCTCCCGGTCACATCCACTCTCTTGTCACTTCAGGCTGTTCTCCATGAATTGCTACCAAAGTGACCTTTTTAAAACATAAATCTGATCATATCAGACCACTGCTTAAAGCCCTTCTGTGGCTTCCAGTGCTCTTAAGATAGAGATCAAAACCCTTCTTGAGGCTAAAAAGGCCTGATAGGGCCCCTGCCAGCCTCTCTGGCTCAGCTCCAGCCCTCTTGCCCCAGTCCTGCCAGCCAGCAGCCTTTCAGCTCCCCAAGCACACCAGGCTTCTTCCTGCTGCCCAAAGGAGCCAACGCTCCACCCTGCCTCCGTTACTTTCTCAGCTGATCTGCTCATCTTCAGCTCAAATGCTGCTTTCTCAGGAACCCGCCCTCGATGTGATGGGTGCCCCTGAGACACAGGCTGCTCTCACAGCTCCCCCATGATTCCTTCATCAAACCTATGCAGGGCAGGACAACCTGAGTGATATCTGCGCCCCGGGGAGGCTGTGAGCGCCACAAAGACAGGGCCCACTATGTCCGTGCTGGCCTTATAGCCCCACCTCGAACACTGTAAGTTCTCCATATGGTGATGATTCATTTCAAGAGAGGGGGCCTGTGGTTTTCAAGGGACTAATCCGGTCGGTCTTTAAGGTTAGTTAAAATGGACCAGGAAACCAACACCTACCTTGCCTTAGCCTCTAACAACCAGTTTCACAGACATGGAGCCTACCTCGGGTCTTGCCAAACTAAACCACTTCCTGGCTCCCTATCAACCCAACCAACCCCAGTGAGTACCCAGAGCATGCCAGGACTGGGGGAGACCAGGCAGACACCCCATTCTAGCATTATTCCACCTGCTGCTTCACCTGTGTGTCCCTCCTCCCATCTCCTCCTCTGAAATGTTCCCACCTTGCTGAAATGCCACCTCCTTGAAGCCTTCCTAGAACCATCTGATCAACCAACTTCCCCTCCCCAGGCCTTTCCACAGGGAGTATTTACACTGTTTCTGTACTCTGGAACCTGGGTTATCATTTCCCCTCCCCCAAGGCAAACTGGAAGCTGGCACAAGGCTCAGGTCCCAAAGGATACCCTAGGGCTCTGATTCTCTCCAGTGGAACTCTGGAAAACTTTGGTGGTGTTTTGGGGGGACATTCCTAGCTTTTAGTGAGTGGGGACTACGAGGGGGACAGTCCACATAACTCAGAACTGTTCTGCACCCTGCATGACTTTGATATTCCTGTAGGTGAAAGACCTGCTTATAATTACCTGAACCTAGAACCCAACTCTGTTTTAAAGCTAACACAGAGCAGTTCTTCCATGGTTCTCCCAGGTACTAAAATTTCCAAGAATACCTTTACCATGTACACTAGAGGGAAGCTGAACTGTTTTTGATAAAAGGGTACTATGAGCTCCCAGTCTGGAAAAACCCCATCACCTACAGTCCTGGCACGCATGGGTTTTGAGCTTCCCACAAAGCACGTTGTAGCAGTGGGCACTATGGCCATCGAGTTCCCACAGGTTCTACAGGAGTGGTGAAGGCAGGGCCTGCTTCGTTGTAGCTTCTAGTATCCTGTGCCCAGGAACTTACATATTGAAAGTTCCTTTTATTTCTCTTTTACATCCTGGTTAGGGCATTGGCAATTTTTTATTTTATTTTATTTTTTTGAAACTTTTTAAAAAAAATATATCTCTTTTATTGATTTCAGAGAGAGGAAGGGAGAGGGAGAGAGAGAGATAGAAACATCAATGATGAGAGAGTCATTGATCAAGCCCGCAACCCGGGCATGTGCCCTGACCAGGAATCGAACCCCAATGAGCCACACCCGGCCGGGCATTGGAAATTTTTAAAAAAATTATGTGTAGGCAGTTTTTTTGAAACATAAGTTTCAATTTAAGATAATAAAGAGGGTGGGGGTAGGTTGTTAACACAATATTTGTCCTTAAAAAGATGGTGTTGCATCCATGAGGTTGAGAACCACTGTGCTATTTTGCCTACTGTAACTTGAAATGCCTTCTGTAGGCTGACATGGCCCTGTTGTACATCCCTCCCTCTGACCTCCCCATCAAATGCAGAATATCCAACTGGCCCCTTGTCCTCTCCACTTGGATGTCTAACATCAGGCGTCACACACCCAGCCTGTCCAGAAGATGCCTGTCATCCACCCTCCGTCAAACCTGCTCCCCTTCCCACTTCAGCTAGGGGCACCACCATTCGCCTAGTTGCTCAGGCGAGGAACCTCCTTTCCATCCTTGATTCCTCTTTCCTCAGCCCACAGTCAATCAACAAATACCATCAGCTCTATCTTCAAAAAATATCCCCAATAGGATTACACTTCCTGGCCTCCACCACCACCATCTGAGCCCCACCCCCCAATGATGCTTTAGCCTCCTGCTGCTCCTCGCACACCCCCAGTCAGAATCCGGCTAACACAGCTGGACAGTGGGGTCTAACAGATCTCCAGGCCCCTACTCCTTCTTCTAGACCAGGGTTTCTCCACCTTGGCATTACTGATATTTGGAGCCAGATAACGTCTTGTGGGGAGAAGGCCTGTCCTGTGCACCGTAGGACGTTTAGCAGCATTCCTGGTCTCTAACCACTAGATGCTTGTAGCATCCCTGTCTCTCATCCCAAGTAATGACAAACAAGAATGTCTCCAGCCCAGCCTGTGTGGCTCAGTGGTTGAAAGCCGACTCATGAACCTGGAGGTCACCATTCAATTCCTGGTCAGAGCACATGCCTGGGTTGCAGGCTCGATCCCCAGTAGGGGTGTGCAGGAGGCAGCCGATCAATGATTCTGTCATTGATGTTTCTATCTCTCTCCCTCTCCCTTCCCCTCTGAAATCAATAGAAACATATTTAAAAAACAAACAAAAAGAATGTCTCCAGACATTGCCTAATGTCGCCTGGGGGCAAAACTGAGCCCTGATGAGGACTGCTAACACCCCACAGGTGACCACAGGGCATGCTGGCACTAAGAAATCTTTCTTCTAGCACCCTCTCCCTGTGGTTCCTACGCATGACTTCCAAGCCAGGGCAGTCTGCACCCTTCTGTAAATGAAGTTATTGTACCTTCTGCTTTTGCTGCTGTTCCTGTTCCAACCCTGCAATGCCCTCCACCCTCCCTCCACTGTCCAAATTCTGCCCTTCCTTCAAAGAGCCAGTCCGGGCCCCCCACCTCTAGGAAGTCCCCATGACTACCCCAGCCCACAGGAAGCACTGTCCCAAAGTTAACAACACTCCTCTTGTTATCATTTGGAACGTCACCGAACCCCAAACACAAAATTGTACCTCAGCTAGTAGGGTTCTCGGAAATCATCTAACCACTTACTCAATGTGCATTTATTAAGCACTTCTGTATACCTAGCATTGGAGATAGAGACATGTAACTGATAAGGTCCCCACCCTTATTTTATGATAAGGAAAACCAGGCTTAAAGGGGCAAATGCTCTTTTTCAAATCTTACTTGCCCAGGAAAGGAACTGCATATTCTGCGTAACTTTCCTCAGGAAGAGGCATAGCTCGGAGCAGTAGCCACATAAACTGGTGCATCACCATAGCTCCTGGCTTCCCTTTATCTCCCCAGCTGGAACATGGGCAGTGCAGCTCAGTGCTCAGAAGTGTGGGCTTGAAGTGAGAAAGACCTGGGATCAAATCCTGGCTCCTCTCCTTACTACTTCATGACCCAAGTTACCTGACTTCTGGACCTTAGTTTCCCCAACTGTAAAGGAAGATAAAATCATGAGCCTCCCCATGGGAGGGGAGTCAGTGGCATCAGGTACAGCACGTGACATTGGCTCATGGTAGAGGCTTACTCCCCTCCTGGTCCCGTGAAACTTCCCCAGCCTGTCCCCACTGCTCCCCTAGTCACTATGCCCTCCCCGTCACTGCCCCTTCAAGGGCAAAGTCTCTAGTCTCATCAGCATCTTACACAACTGACCACTTCCTCCTCCTGGGAAAACCTCTTGGATGTCAAACCCACACCCTCCAAGGTTTCTTCTGCTTTTCTGAACTCCTTCTTGGTCAACCCAACCTGTGAAAACTGGGTGCCTGATGTTGGGCCCTGGCTTCTTTTACCTATCTTAATTCTGATCTTGCTTAATCTCATCCCACTGATGGACATGCCAATGATTTCTAAATTCCTTACATCAACCCTAACCTTTCCTACAAGCTCCAGGCTAGCACACTAACTTGAGCTCCACTCAAGACACCTAAAATTCATAGTGCCCCACGCCAATTCTTCAACCCATGCCCAAAACATCACTAGTAAATGCCAGCATAATATATCTGGTTACTTAAGTCTAAACCCCAAATCAATGATGGAAGCTATCCTTGACCACTCTTTCCCTTTTTCCTCAAATCCTGTCCTGTCAGTTCCGTTTCCAATATACTTCTGGACCCATCTATGGCCTTCACCTCTACTCCACCATCACAGTCTAAGCCACAGTGATCTTTCACCTAGTGGCTGCAACAGTTTCCTAACTGGTGTCCCTGCACCGCCACCATCCATCCCCACCCGGCAGCCTGGAAAGGTGGCTTAAGCACAAAAAGCAGGCGATCGGCCACAGGGCAAATCCCAGCTCCACCAGAAGGCCCACCAGAAAGGCCTCCTACCACCTGGGCTCCTTGGACCGCTGCACCCTCCTTCTCCCACCACTCCCCCAGCACCCAGCACGCTGGCCCCTGGAGGTATGGAAAACACATCAAGCCTGTGTCCTTTTTCGCACCTGCTGTTCCCTTTGCCTAGAACACTGTTCCACACACCTCTGCGTGGCTGAAACTCTCCGCGAGGGCCCCTCCCCATCCTCATAGCACCTCCCACCACCTGACGGTTCCTTGTTTGCCCAGGAGTTTACTGCCAGCCCCTCACTCCGAGCCCACCGCGGGATGCAGCCTCTTTGGGGCAGAGCCGGACAGGCGTGATTCCCGTCGGGGTCCAGGCCCAGCTCTTCGCCGGGGCTCAGGAAAAGCCCGGGGCAGCGCGCCCACGAGGGCGCGTGGAGGCCGGGTCCCCCCCGCTGCAGGGCAGGATCCCAGGCGCGCCCCACATAGCCCGGC